TAATACCAAAATAAGCTTTCAAATAATGACCCAATTGCTTCTTACTTTAAAATAAAATTATTCTGAATGAAATTGAGATTTTCTTTCTTTTCGGCATTTGGACTTGGTAGCAATATTTTTCATGTTATTAAAGGTGAAAGGGGCAAAGAACTCAAAAATGGTAAGAAATAATATTATGCTTTCTTATATGTTAATAAATCAAGTTGTATAAATATATGAAATCCATAAATTACAATGCATAATGAGTTAAAGTTTATAAACTACCATTCTTGCTTTGAAATCTGTCAACTTTTTCCTCCTTGGCCCTTAAAGAGTTGCATACAGAATTAATCTAGAACACTTATATTAAAGACAAAAAGAAAATTAATTAGATAGGGAGGGTTCCTAAACCTCTAATCTTTTATATATATAGTCCTCCGGGGCATAGTCAAGTGGTGCAAAGGACATGAGTGATGTTATCTCATGTTTTACTGGCAGTCGCAGTGTGGTGGTTTGATTCCTGAAACATGGAATTGGACTCCTTGTAGGCGCAGTGTATAGACAGTTCTTGTTCCCTGACTTGTTGGGGCACATTCCGCGATTTATCTCCCTCACAAAGCTCTAGGGCCGAGACCGTGGGGGACCCTCAAGGTTGAAGTTCAACCTTTTATATATATATATAGACACACACACACACAAATTAAGAAAATATTTTATTTTTTTCAGATTTTCTGAAAGTACGTCTAACTATTTTAGTGGTGGAGGCCCTCAAAGTTGAGGTCCAACCTTTTTTTTTTTTTTAACCTAGCCATTCCTGCAGCAAAGAGTGAACCACGGGAGCTGTCCCAACGTAGCACCAGCACCGATAAACCCAAATAATCTTGAACCTGACTGAATTTAAGCGAGTTAATTGTGCAAAAAATAGCATTTGATCCTGCAAATCTTGCAGTCAGATTAACAGATAAAGTAAACAATCCAGGAACGAAGACAGCGTGCATGTAATGACCAGGATAAATAGAGGTGTCAGGTTGACAATACTCACTCTTCCTCTATAATAGAGTATGATTTATTCTTAATCAAAATTATTAAATTGATGCGATAAATACTGATAGACCAGATTATGAAAAAAGGAGCCCAATTGCAACATACTGACATCATTATCCATCACATCAATTACTCTGGCCCAAGTTGAAGAGATAGTTATAAGGTTAAGCAGAGCAACCAGTGAAAAACATTCATATTCTTTTTTCAGAAGAAACATGATTTTTGTAAAAAATAATCAACAATCACAAGTTCATTATCAATTTTGATAGCAAAAAAAAAAGGGAAGCAAATTAATTTTACGCAAAGGAAAACCCAATCCTCACTGAAAAGAAAAACCATCCATGTTTTCCCAAGCCACCAGAATTTGCTGGAATGGTTTGGTTAACCATTATCTTAAGCTCCTCCTTTATAGTGGAGTTGACACGAAAGAATCTCTACACAGATTGAAGGTCAAACATCATTCCTTGAGAGATATCCCACAGTTAACGAATGTGATTTTCTGTTTCAGATACTTACCTTGAAACTGGAAAAGGAACTTCCAGGGATGGAGGAAAGCCATAGAATAAATAATATAACAAGAGAAATGCTGAAAAATCAGTGAATCAAAACCAAATCCTGGAACAGAAGTACCAAATTAGAGATAATACTTACAGTGTTCAAAATAAAACTGCCAGCACAATACTTTTGTCCAGTCAATAAAACAACGCAAGAAGTTGGTCATATAAAAAGGTAAGTGAAAATTCATTTTACCGTCTGTACACAGAATCACAAAAATTGAGTTAACCACTATCCTTAGATACTCTGAATTTGCTCTTTGTAAATCTAGTAGTGAGACATCCCCCACATTTTATTAGTTTCATTTCATAGAAAATAATATACTGCCTAGTCATTCAGTTGGACATTGCAAATAACTCAACATTATCTTTATGAACTTGAAAACAATGATGTTAGGATCAGTAGAGAGGTCGTGCTTTCATATTTGCCTCAAGGTTGACAAGCTCTTAAGAGATTTTATAAAGAGCATTATGCAGCTGGAAATCAAATACTGAATCAAATGACAGCAAGAAGGTTTAGTTACTCAAAACAAGAAGGAACACCAATAAGCAATTTCACAACACTAAGCAGAAGAGAGCAACCTTTTCCAACATGCAAATTATTAAGACTATAACAAGTTTTAAATCATTGTTGTTTTAACTAATAAATAGAACCAAATAATATAATTTTCAAGCGGGATAGAAAGATTATCATGAAGGAAGTATAAAAGACATATGGTTAAGTGGAAGAAATAATGTACAAAGACATCACAAAGACACAAGTCTACATGGTAAAAGTTTATGTCCAATTGTGTAAAGTCGTATTCTTTATGAAATGTTATTTTAGTTTTTGAAAGAAAGGTTGTATCGCTTCTAAAAGAGCCATAATCATTCCAACGACACCACCCTGTAAACAGTCAGTCACAAATCCAGGAACGCATCCATTATAGTAAACTATTTATACGTTCAAGACATCAATAAGATTTGGCAGAAATTCTATATTATTCATTTCCACACAATGAGATTAAGAAAACAATCATTAATTAAAATCTCGAACAACAATTGTGGAATCAATCATTTTTATTATTGAAATTCATCATAATAGTGTTATCTCCGAATAATTGAGATTGGAAAAAATTCATTCACACCTTTCCTTTAGAAAGATTAGGCAACGAAAAAATGAGAGTGGAAACTGGCGCAGCAATCAGTGTGAGCAGCAGCAACGATGCAACAAAAAGGAAGTACCACAAAATATGCACTCAAAATCTACAAGCACAAAATTCATTCCACATTAACTACTCAAGACATAAGATTTCACATTCCATAGGTAGAAATCAGGAAATACTGGAACTTACGAAGAAGAAAGAAGAGGCGGAGTAGATGAGTGCAGAGATTTCGTTAGGATGGACTGTTACGAACCATGAAACGATTGATTCTAAGCGAGATTTAGAGATTATCATTGCAGGGTGATTGAGTTGAATGGATGGTTTGACAGCATGGATGAAATTTCAGTTGAATTTGATTTTGTCGACTGAAGAATGAATCTTCATTTTCAGTTGGAAGAGAGGGAGGTTTATTTACTCCATGGCCCTCAAACTTCTGTCTATTTGTAGAAAAGGGGTGATAATTTTTTTTGGATTAATTTCACTAGGGGTCCCAACGTTTTGTTAGTGTGGCATCCATATATTCAATCTACCATTTGTTACACTCCTATCTCCAACTTTTTAAATTGTGCGCCAATTTCCTAACACATAGAAAATGTTTATTTAGCCTGTGTTTGAGTCCCATTTATTTTCTTTTTCCTATATTTTCCAACCCTTTTCAAAGCTCAAGTCAAAGATGTTCACGTTTCAACTCTTACAACGTCTGACACCATTTTGTAGAGTTAAATAATTCAAAGACAATCGTTGGCAAATTTTTGCCTACAACACCTTCGTTTAGATGCTTGCTTTTATAGAAATGCCCTTGCATAAAATCTTTTGCTCTTTAACCCTTGCAAAATTTGTTCCCATTTCATTTCTCAAAGCTTTGCACTCTGTCAATTTGCGGCCACAGAAACTCTACCATCTTGATCTTTTATTTTTTTAGCCTTGTACTAGTGTGAACTCGGTGCAAATTCCATTTTTCGGAGTGCCTCACGAGCCGACTTCCATCTCTTCTACATCATAAGAATAGCAATGTCTCTAGCTTTAGTCTACAAACGATGAAGGAAATCGGACTTCCTGTCGAGCCAGTTATGCTGCAAAAAATCATGGCACTCAATACCGAAGGTTGGGGTTATTATCCGGACAACATGGTAAGCATAAAAACTCTATGATTTTCCCGTCGATTGTCTCTGCATCCGCTGTACATAATTTCCTCTTTGTCAGCCATCAACTTCATAAGCACATTGTGACGTTCAACTGTAGACGAAACAGGCTACATAGAGTCCAAAACGGAACACTGTCTTTGGCTGTGTGTGTTCCAATACGCGTCCAAATCTAGGATTTCCTTTTAGATGTCCGATAGGATTGCATATCTTGAAACGGGAATAGATCAACATTGCTGGTTCCATGAAAATTGCAAAAAATGGTGAGTGAAACTGGAGATAACAAACTGTCACATTCATTCTGGAGATGTTAAGTTGGTACAATTGTAGTCGTACTATTTACCAATCATAGAAAAAAACGCGGCATTTAATAAAAATACAATGTTCAGCAGAAAGGTAATTTTCTACCTTTTTAGAGGAGCAACTTATCCTTGAACAACTCTCCATTTACATTACATCATGCTTTTGTACATTTATATATGTATAACTTTTGCTTATAATCCATTGATTGCTGTTAACTTTGCATGCATTGGGCGACGTTAATTATTGATCACCGTAGGTGCTCACCAATACTGCATTCCAGTGCATATTCATTTATCCTAAGCCTTTCTTGCCGCCTCTTCTCACAAGTTTTGACCTCTCCATTTGTGCCACATTGCAGATGAACACGACACATAATCCGGACACGGTGCAGGGTGCATCATCGAATATGAATCTCAAAAAGAAGTCAAAGGCCCGCAAGTGTGCTAGATAGGAACCTCGCGAGCAAAAGATCTTCATAGCTACCATCGAGCATGTCATTGCTGAGGGCCATCGTCAGGGAAAGTGCTTCTCATCAACAGGTTCGGGCGCATATGCGACTTGTTGAATAAATGCTAAAAAGGATTGGACCATTATCCAGCTCAAAAACCATTGGGGTTTTATGCGTACAGACCAAACTTCTGTTTGAGCTACTTCAGAGCACGAAAATAGCATGCGGTCTCAGCAATGGGGGCAGAATTGACGCACCGAACTTGTGGTGGAAGTAGAAAATTAAGGTACTAACCGACGACAACCTGCAATATAGTTTTTCTTGTTATAAACAGTTTTGATTGCGAACACGGCACATTCGTGATACTACTCGCTTGTCACATTGTAGGAGAACTCTTGGTATGGAAAGTTTAAGGACAACGAGAACAGCGAAATTTACCACACATATAGTTCTCTATTTGGAGGTAGTTATGACTCTATGAAGTACGCACTAACACCCACAAGTTGTCTCAATGTGGGTTCGACCTGGGCTCCGACACTGACACGGATAACCTGAATGACAAGTTACCTATTAATGCTGAGACTTCTAATTTGAGCAAAGGCCCAACATATGGAAGAGCAAACTTTTAAATGAATATTTTCCTTTGTCGAAACGGCGAGAAACGTAAACGTAAACATGCGAAGGGCGAGCAAAAGAAGTTCGTTGCTAGGGAGGTTTCCAAGTCGGTGGATAACCTTGCGTACGCATCGAAGGAGATGGTGATTTGCTCAAAAGAATGGGTCGAATGACTCTCCACGAGCACGTCTATGATTTGCTTTCTACTGGCCTAGTCGAGCCAGGGATGAGCTGCACATGTTCGCATTGTGGTTCTTAAGGAATTCCAACAATCGTGTAGTGTACAATGTCTCTAAAACCTCGGAATTGAGGTTCAAGTGGATCTCGTATAGCTTCGAATGCGACAAGATGCTTGGTTCCAAGAGCCTGTAATAGCTTGACGGACGTGTCTTATATATGTCTCCATTGTTCATTTTGTTACTGTAGTCATTGTATTTATTATAGTAATATCAACATGTTTTAGTACCTGTACGTGAGATTATCGCAATTTCTAATGTGCTATGAATATTTTTGTTATGTACTTTGAAAATATCCATTTGTGATTGTCATGCGAACTCTTTAGAACTCTATTATTACCAAAAACTTAAATATTAGCAAAAGCCTATCATGCTATTCCATTATTTTAAAATATGTAAATAGCTTTTTGACGTCGGGTAGGATAGTGATTATCCTATTAACTTATTGTAGCAGATAAGTCGTAAGAAAGAAACGACAGAAAAGGCCCAAAAACAAGAGAAAATACTCTAAAATCAACTCAATATTATTAATAATGCAGAATGATCAAAATTAACCCACAAGAAGGGTTAAAATAGCTGCGAAATACGAAATTATGGAAAAATTATCAAAAATGGTAAAATCTCAAAATTATACCAGAATAAAATATTAAGTAAAAGAAGTATGTTGCCAAAAATTTGACTCAATTCAAGTTTTCTAACATATGAAAAAAAATGAAACGAAATATTACCATAAATAGCAAAAAATAACTTAAAATTGAATTTTTGAAATGAAAACAGCGGATTTTTGGCTCAAAATTGACATCCATCGAGCATAGCTCGGTGGCCACGACGTGCGCGCCGAAGAGAGCTTTCCAGATTGGGTCATAATAGCGATTCTGGTAACCGTAACCAAAGTTATGACCAAATTATAAAAAATTCATCAAATTTCCCCAATTAAGGAAATAATTGCGGTTCACTTTCCATCTTTGCGCCGATCCGCCATCTCATGGTATTTCAGTGTCATCATCGTGTTATATGACAAATCAGCATCACTCGACTCGGATCCTCCTGCATTACTTTTGTGTAGGCAGGATTTCCTGCATATTAGAAGGAATCTTTTCCTTTTTCATCCCATTTTGCATGCATGGCTAGTGGAATCTGTAATTGGTGGCACTGACTAAACTATCAATTCGTCGCGTACAGTTCCAGAGCTATGTGTATACAATCTAAAGTGCTATGTGGTAATCAATGATGGTACACAGAAACAATCACAGCCACGATTCAACTTTTATGCTCCCATATATAACGAAAATTTTCGCTTGTCGTGGTCTCAATACGACGAGATGTCAGGCACATCTAGTCCCCATATGTCATCTAAGATCAATTCTAACCTCATGCCTAATTCCTGCTCGGAGGGCGGGTTAGACGAAGACGTATAGCAGCAGTTGAAGGCGTAGGGATGGACGCAGCAATTTTTAGTTGGGGGCAAAATCAAACTTTGTACAAATCGAATACGTCATTATTAAATTTTGAATGATTTATAATTGACCCGAGAAAATGTAGATCTACATTTAAATAACATTTATTCATTAATATTTTTCTCATGTTTATGTCTAAGAAATTTATAGTGTATTTAATACAAACAACAAATTTAAGTGATTGAAAGGAAAAACATTTAACCAACATTCAATCAAATTAATACAATTCGTGCAATATAAATTAAATTGGATATAATTAGTTCAGACACATTCTATGTGCACAAATAGGACAGGAAAAAACTACAAATTTAGGTTATAATTAATTGAAATTTTCATAAAAATTTGAGAAATTTGCAGTAGATGTGATAATCTGTAGAAAAATTATAACCGAATCGTGAAATATTAGAAAAGTTAAGGTTTTGGTAAAAGGTATAAGGGAGAGAGTAAGATAGAGTAAGACAGAGAAAAAAATTCAAATTTATTATGATTTTGCCCCTATTTAGTATGTGTGAGAATTATATTTTTATTAAATTTTAATAAAAGTTAAAAAGTTAGGGGTTTCATGAAATATGTTATTAAAATTTATTATGAACTTTGATTTATAATTAAATTTAGATTTCATTCGATACCAAACACGACTTAAAATTTCAATCATGACCCCCAAGATACTGTGCGAACTGTTTAAAACTTTCTCATTACCAAAAACTCCATTATTAACAAAAACCTATCATGCAATTTTCATTATTTTTAAATATGTCAATAGCTTGTATAAAGACGAGATTTTATGCATATTGAAGGGAATATTTTCCTTTTTCATCCTTTCTTGCATGGATGGATGGTGGAATCCATAATTGGCGGCACTCTGTATATTATCAATTTGTTGTGTACAGTCCCAAATCTTTGAGTATAAAATCTAAAGTGCTATTTGGCAATTAATGACGGTACCCAGAATCAACCAATGTCACAGGTCGAATTTTATGCTCCTACATGTAATGGATTTTTTCGCTTTCCATGGTGTCAATACGACGAGATGACAGACATATCTAGTCCGCATACGTCATCCGATACCGATTGTGACCTCATGTCTAATACCGATCTCGGATGACGGTTCGGATGAAGACATACTGCAAGAGCTGAAGGCGGATATGCTAACATGGCTATGATACTTTCAGATCGCTGAGCAGATGGTACGCCAATACATCCAACCGGATAGGGGCTGACGTTACTTATTTCCTATGTCTCGAAGCAGACATATTTTCATGTTACAGAATAAATATATGTATCCGCAAATGTGCTTTTAGAAGTTCAGAACCTACCCACCCATGACACTTTACACATGTTCTTAGAGACCAATATGGCTTGGAAAGTAGTACAACTATTGATATATATGAGCACGTTGGTATATTTTTGTGAATACTGGCGCATGGGAAGGGTTATCGACAGGTGAAAACGCTGTTTGGACATTCGTTGTAGATCATTGCCCATTATTTCAAGCACATGCTTCGCATTGTCGATGTGTTGGCAGCAGACATGATCCGATCTCATGAAAACTACAATCACGACTCGGCACATCATCACCTCGATCCGGAGAGATACCTATTTTTTCAAGTGTTTGTAAGGAAACCTTATATTACTACTTCAATTCGGCTAGTATTTGTGAATTTTAATTATGATATGGTGTGTAACATCTTCTGGATTAGTAATAAAAGGAACATCCAATGAATGTCTCGGAAACGTCTTCGTTCTTTTTATATATTGGATCCGCAAAACCAAAATGTACACATTATCCATCACAAGAAATTGCTAGGGGCATTAACATCAATGTCCACCACTGGTTGCATTAAAATATTGGCAACTCAATATTAAATTGAAATGTGTCAGGTTTCTACATATGTGCCATGTGGGACCCGCGACCAACAACAATTGACTGAAGAAAATGAGAAATAATGAAAAGTAATGGGGTTCAAACGTAAGCTTAAACATTAATTAAACGTGACAATTAACACGCACATGATGAGAAGGTTGGGTCGAAGCAAGGGATAAGTTTCATAACACTAATAAAATTTATCCTTTATGGATTTTTATTTGACCATTGAAGTCACCCTTTGAATCATTTTAATAAATAAAATCTCTTTTGGACAGTTTTGTTTTTTGAGTTATAACATTATCATTTAATGTTCAAATATATATATTTTACTATTAGCTATTAACATGGGCGATACGAATCCACATAGCAATAGTAGTTTTGAAACCCACAAAAGATTGAATCACAACCCCAAGAAAGTTAAAATCTTAGTTTGAAGCTCGATCTAATAATTTATTGAACCAAAGAACTAACACAATCGTCGACAATATGTTGACCCTGTGGTCACAAAAAGTATGAACCTTGCTGTGAATTTGTTGAATGCGACAAAAGAGTATTAATCTTTGACAAGTTCGAATAGTTTGAATGCCACAAATATTGAAAATATTTGATAAGTTCTATTCAATTAAACGCAAAATAGAAAGTGAAAAATATCACATTATGATTAATTCTCAACAATTAATATCTTTATCGTACAATTTGTGATCCTTTTATAGGTATAAAATAAACTTCTATTCAATGAGAAAATGGATCAAATTCTACAGGATCAAACATATGGGAATGGGACTTAAGGAATGATATTAAAAAAAAGAAAAAAAAGAAAAAAAAAAAAAGGGAACACACATCTGGATTTGAATCTACTTTTTATCGGGTAAGATGAGAACATGGATCAAAACAAAAGAGTTTAAATATTAAAACAAAACTCTAATTCCAAAGGCAAATCCAAATAAAGTAGAAAACTACAAAATAAATTTGAATAAAACCAAAATACAACAAATAACGAAAATATCCTTAAACTAAATTCAAAACCTAAAAATAGACCCCTAAATAATCGAATTTGACACGCAAAGTTTGACAAAGTCATCTAACAAACTTGTGCAGAATCAAAAGACGTTTTTAGATTTACTCATGGATGAAAATTCGACAACCGAGCAAAAAGTTAAACGCATTTCTGTGAATCCTGTGCATTTTCGTGCATATTTCATATTCTTTCTATTTTTTAATTAGTTTAAGATCTTCTATTCTAATTGATCCGTATCACTACGAAACATGCAATGGATCTTTATTAGCTTGTCCTCCATGATTCTCATCAATCAGTGTCAACGATTTTATAAAGTTGAAGACATAAAGTGCAACAAATCATAGGCTTTTGGTAGTGATGCTACACTTACAAAGATTAGAGACTCCTAGTGAAATTTTCCAATGTTAGTCTTAAAATTGGTTCAGACCCTAAAGAGTATTATTTTAGGAAAAAATAATTACAAAGGTTTCAAGATACACTTCTCAAAAAAAAAAAATGTAGAAATATTTCAAAAATTAAATTATCACATTTGTGATCACATGATAACAATGTTTTAACTTATTAACTAACTAAACAAGTCAAGACCACATTAACACACCATTTATCATCATGGTCATGTGCCAGACACAATCGCACAAAGAAACAAATTATGTGGTATAATTACAAATTTAGTCATAAATAACACATTTTTTTGATAACATATTACTTATTGGTCAAAAATTACCTAAATACTTGTCACAAAAGCTCTTCATCCCACTCAACTACTCCACAACCATTGGCAGCACCCAAACGTCGTTGTCACTTCACCACCCCATCACCACAATATTGCCTTCATCACCGTCGCCACCTCACCACCAACACCACCACAACATCTATTGCACCACTACCACACAGATTCTGTATATTGTAATCGACCACCACGCAATCACCAATACACCACAACATCCATCACACCACCACTAGAACTGATCCGACTAGTGTGAAGAGATTTCGAAATTTCAGATTCGAATTCGGTTTGAGGAGGAAGAAATATGGCTGGGATTGGAGATCTGGTTCGATGTTACTTTCTTTGGTGAAGGCGACCAAAGTTGGTGGGTAGCGACAGAGTTGGTGGAAAATTATACTAGTTAAACGCATTTAATTGACAATTCTCAGTAAAACAAGTTTTAGGTAGTTCAATTCCTCGAAATTCTTTTTCTTTCCACCCAAATTTTATTCTTGCAATCAAATGGACCCTTAGAACTATTGTCCTAATTCCATGAAGATTTTGAATGAAAGACAGAAGGCAGTTTTGAATAGAATTGGACCACATTGGTCAATCAAATGAGATTGATACACATAGAAGTACGATTTTTGATACATTGAACTTCAATATAAACTAGAACTTGAATCCAAGGAAGGAAAATCAAAATCAAAATAAAAATTAAAAAATAAATACAAAGAAACATATGAGACATTTGGTTCAAAGTTATCTCAGTTCACTTCAGCAAAATGTATAACAATAGAAAATGTAAAAGAAACAACAAACTTAAAATCGTGCTTAAGATTCTACGAGGAGAAGAGTCGTGTGAAGAAATTTCCTGAATTGGATTTTTTCTCTAAGCAAGCAACATGAACGTATCTTCCTAACTTGTCCACTTGTCTTGCTTCACCTCTGGTGTCTTTCTTGCAAATTTTGCAGGTTTTGTCCACCCAACCTTCTTCTACATACTGTCCATCCACTGAAATCATTTAAAAAAAAAAATACAAAGTATTACAACATTTTTATGAGCCTTTTGGTACGGGTCCCCCCCCAACCCCACCCCAAAAAATAAATAAATAAATAAATAAATCAATTTCAACATGTTTAGTAGACATTGCAAATTTTATGAGCCTTTTGGTTCGGTTTTTGCTTTTTCTTAAAATCGATACCAACATTTTGACTAGACATTTCAATCTAAATCATCTTGTGGATCTTGCACCTCTAACTTATGAAATGGGGCTTCAAAAATTTATAGTCAAACGAGATAATGTAACAAAAATCTAAATAATTTTCATCACTGAGCACCGATTGTAACGTTAATTAAAGATTGACGAACAACTCGTTGTGTTTTAAAGGTTTGAAACTAATTTACCACTAAAACAATAGATTAAGAACCAATGATGCCATTTTTCCTCATTATATATGCAACAAATCAAATTATCGAAGATCTAATCATACTTTGCAATTTAGGATTCATGGGCTTAGCCACTTGGCAATTCTTTAGTTAATTTGCTTACCTTCTACATATGATTTGAAGAAATCTTTGTATGTTCCACCAATCTTCCTCCTAAGAGCTCCATACTGCAATAGATCAAATGTTTGAATTAGTACAAAACATCCTACTAGAGTAAAAAAAGAAAGAATCCACTTCAATTGGATCTAACTCGTCTTGAAACTCGTTCAGACAAAAAAACCTGAGTAGTAATAACACTACATGCTATGCGCTGGAGCATCCAAAATTTAGTCGCTTGTCTACTATAATATGCATGGTTCAGTTTTCTTCCAATACCAAACTAGTGAAATTTTTATAAATAGATGACAAGAATAGGGCCAGTTTGAAACAATTTTTTGAAAAGTCAAAAGTTACTTATGAGGTAAAAAAGTTACTTTTGAGCATTAATAGATACTTTTCTAGAAGTGCTTTATTTAGTTAGTAGAGCTTTTAGAAGAAATTGGTATAAATTAACTTTCTCTATAATCTAATGTACGAGAAACAAAGCAAAAGCAAAAGTACTGTCAAACGCGCCCTTAAAAACCTCCTATACCGTGCTTAAGTATCTCATAGAAAGAATACCTGTTCCCTTGTCATCCTGTCACCTGTTTGCGTTGCTTCTGCAGCTTCATCCAGGAGTTCAGCATCCTTGGCAGATCTTACCTGTGAAAAATCTAAAGCTTCCGTCACACTCGAAAACAGAGATTGCTTCTTCTTCTTTGGTTCTTCATTTCCATTCTCTTTCTTGGCAGAAAATATGACAAATTTCAAGGTCCTGCTATTATTATTGCATTTAAAATATGTCTGTGAAATTCCTGAAGTTGCAGCAGGAAGAAGTCCAGTTTGTGAAGATGACAAGGGAAGAGCCCTCAGTCCCATCTTTTGCTTCACAAACTATTTGAAGAATATTCACTACTCTACACCTTATATGCATAGAAAAACTTGAGGCTAAATGGGCAATTGCAACCACTCACAATATCTGATGGTGAAGAGAAGACGTGGCCTTTTGGTTGGCTAGTAAAATTGAGAGGGCAAGGCAATCTGTGGCCTTGAAAATATATTTTTTCATTCAATCCTGTCCTTTAGTAATTATCTAATTTTCTAGTTGAGAAAATTATAGTTTGGTGCTAAAGGCTAAAAATTTACTTATTAATCAAACACGTAAGTTATAAAATAAACAATTATTTAAAGGTTGGCTAAATGGAGATTCTGTGTAAATTGGACTAAGTAAAACTTTAAATAAACTTTTAAGGACAGTGTATTCAATTTAAATTTTTATAGATTTTTCTAAATGATGGACTTTTGTGGAATTTTTAAGCTTATATTTACTTTTGAAGATTTAATGAAAGTCTTCCATTGACTTTTGTTATTTTTCTTTTAAAGACTTATATAGAGTTCATTTGAAATTTGAAGGGTGCTTCACTTATAGAAATTCTTTAACATGATTCATACAAGGAATCTGTCTCCCTGTTATTTAGAGATGGCCCTGCCCCGCCTGAATAGGGTCAAAAAAACCCGCACCGATCGGTGGACAGTTGCCTCAACCCCACATCATGAAGAAGTAAAAAAAAAAAAAAAAAAAAAAAAAAAAAAAAAAAAAAATAATGTTAGTTTGAGCATTATTTGCTTTGAATTTTAAACTTTTGAATTTTTATTTTATTCTGTAATAATAGTATAACTCGAAATTTGTATTTTATCTTCTAATATATATATAAAACGGGGCTAGTCACTGCCTCGTCCCGAACCCGTTCCACTGCCATCTCAACTGTTATTGGCTGTTTCTAAAAATAATTTATGACAACAGTTAATCACAAGGAGACAACTGTCTTTCTGTATTAATTCTGTCAAAGAATTTCAATACATGTAGAATTATTCTTGAAATTAAAGACTTCCACTTGTAAAAATTGATTTAATACTCAGTATGCTAACTTTAATTATAGGCCCTTCAACGGAGACATAAAATTTTAATGAACTTTTATATCTGAATATATTTAAAATAAATCATTCATAAGTCTCAACCAAATTGAGCAAAAAAAAAAAAAAATAATAATAATAATAATAATAAAATAAAAATAAAAATTGTTAAGATATGTTTCGTCAAATGTCTCAAGCAACATTAGACATAGATAACATAAAAAATAAATTAAAATCAACTTAATATTCCGTTAATACGGTTTACCAAATACTATTGAAATCAAAAAAATGTAAAGCAATATTTTGACCAAACTTAAAGATAGAAAGAAGTGTTTATTGCTGATAATCTTGAGGTCAAATATATTACAACAAGAAAGTGTTTGAAAAAAAATACAATATTGTTTTGGAGGAATTCGAGCTCTGCCTTTGGAGGGGATGAACCATTTCTTCTTATTTATAGTAGGGATGATCACACCATTGGCCAACTCAAGTCTTGTCAGCTACAATACCATCCTAGTAATCCGTACCACTTTATCTAAGTTTTGCTTGCTTTGATTGGTTGCTGAGGTCGGCCTCATTAGATCATCATTAAGTTTGAGGAGCCAAGCTATCGAACCACGATGATTTGACTTCATATAATTACAGCTTGTATTTGATTGGTTGTCAAAGAGGTGTTGACGTCAGGGCCTCCAAATGTCATTCTAGGAGTGGTGAATGGATAGGTATGGCTGGGTGGCAGGGATTTAGGCATCATTATGTCTCTATAAATCACGATGATTTGTTGATTCGAGCTTATCTCAGTGATATTGATACCTTAGTGTGAAAAATGTAGGATGATTAAAGAAATATTATTTTAACGAGCCGAAGTTCGAACTCCAACAATTACCCCTCAAAGTCTGCACTCACCATGGTGAGGTGAGAACCTTTGTGTCAACATTTGAACCGTAGTGGAGTACAGTTGTCGGAGTAAATGTGGTTTAAGGTGACATGTGTCAACAGATCTAAGAAGGGGCATCCCATTATCTTTTGAGGCTTCTTTGGCAAGCCTCCTTCAAAACTACGTAGTTTTAGATCATATAATCTAGATTTTTCATTCTCCATTCATTTTCGAATCCAACACTTCTTAGCGTCCATGTTGGATTTCTTTCTTTCTCTTTTTATATATTTTCTCTCTCATTATTTCAACACTTTTTGCTCTCAAATCTTTTAGCAAGGGAAATAAATCTCGAAATCCAACACCTTTGTCTTCTGATTTGAGTGAGGTCGCCCATTACCAAGGTATATCCTTTACAGAAGATTTGCCTTTTTTTTTCTTTTCATTTTATCTCGGCTCCTATATAAGTTAGGACGAATCTCGAGTATACTCTTTGGCCAACCACTAGGAAGAGTCTATTCCTATTCACCATTGTAGTTCAGATGTTTAGGAAATATATACCCAAATCCCAATTATTTTAGTTTATTTTAGAGATGTAGGTCACGCTTTAATGTTGGCACAAAATACGGTTGAGCTAAGGGGACTAAGAGACGAGGAAGAGTTGGGTTCCTCTAGTGAGGAGGTAGGTAACTCTTATAGTAGAGAATGGAGGCTTCGTCATTTAGGTCGGTAGTAACTGGGGATAGGCTGGTGATGTGAAGGGCAAAGTATGGTACTCCGAGTACGGTAAAGGTGGTCATTCTCAGCATTTCTAATCAAACTAATGATCCTCTAGAAGGACGTGTGGCATTCAAACTCATCATCCTAGTTGCCAGGCTAAGGTTGAATTGACTAATCGATGTAAACCTTTATTCGACACACTCCGAAGATGAAAGAAGTTTGAATGGACTGAAGAATGTAACAAATCCTTTGAAGAATTGAAGATATAAATATCTCAATTGTCTTTTCTTTCAAAGCCTAAATCTATCAATTTACTTAGCCATATTTGAGCATGCCTTAAGCACTGTATTCATTAGGGAAGAAGATGTTATCTAATATCCTGTTTATTATATTGGCAAAGCACTTTATGATGCTGAGCTATGTTACTCTGCTTCGAAAAAGCTCACCTATGCCCTAGTTATGTCAACAAGAAAGCTACAACCCTACTTTCTAGAGCATCCCATGCAGGTCTTAACCGATTATCCTTTAAGGCTAGTTTTACAGAAACTAGACACCTCAGAATGTCTGGTAAAAGAAACCATCAAACTTGGCCAATTTGATATATCATATAGATCACGAACATCAGTAAAAGGCCAAGCCCTATTTGGTTTCGTAGTAGAATTCAATTCAGATCCCCAAAATAATTAAACAAAGAAAGAGCCTTGGAGTTTTTCTTTGACGGATCCTCAACTAAGGTTAGAGTGGGTACTAGAGTGATTCTAGTCAGCCCAGATTGCCTTTGTTTTTGTAAAGCATTGACCTTTGACTTCGAGGCTCCTAATAACGAGACTAAATACGAAACATTAATAGCTGGCCTGAAAATGGCCAAGGAATTGAAAATATCCAGATTTATAGTATATAACGACTCCCAACTTTTAGTAAACCAAAACAATGAGGTTTTCTAGACCAAAGAAGTTGGGATGAATAACTACCTTGAAGCAGCCCGAACAGAATTAAGTAACTTCGACATTATTGAGGTAAAATAAATACTTAGATCCTAAAATAGCTATGCTGATGCTGTGGCTAGGCTTGCAACTTTCGAAGGAGTGAGTGAATTGAAAAGCACTTCTTTGGGAAGAATTGGACATCCTGTTATTGAAGAAAATGTTGTAACACTAATGACTATAGACCCCAAGCCTTATTGGATGGATGTGATCATAAAATTCCTAAGAATTGTAGAACGCCATGCCAACCCAATTGAAGGCAAAAAGTTGAGATTAAGATAAGATCATTACACTTTCCTAGATGGCATCCTCTATAAGAAAAAATATGTAACCCATTGTTAATGTGCCTAAATGAAGAAGATGTCTTATATGCTCTACAAGAAGTGCACAAAGGAATTTGTGAAAATCAAATGGAAGGACAGTCTTTGCTCGTAAGATCAGACAAGGATAGTTCTAGCCCTTCCTGAAAAAAGACACTCTAAACGTTGTAAAGAGGTGTAATAAGTGCCAATGAATCGTAGCTATCATTCAATCTCCTCCAGAGGATCTTACTTCCATAATTAGCCTTTTGCCATTCTCAAAATGGGGGGATAACCTATGCCATCGGATGAGGTGGAACTAAGTTCGCTATTGTTGTTGTAGTCTACTTTATCAAATGGGCTGTAGTTGAGCCTCTTCTAAGGATAACTAAACATAAAATCACGGACTTCATTTAGAAACTGATTATTTACAGATTCAGAATTCCACATTCCATAGTCAGAGATAATGGAAAATAACTTGACAACCTACATTTGAAGACCTTTCTCGAAGAGCTAAACATTCGAAAACATTTCTCCACTCTGAATCACCCTCAGGCTAATGGGTAGGTTGAAGCGATCAATGAAATCATCAAGCATACACTTAATTTCGATTGGATACTCTCAAAGGTATATGGGCTGATGAATTCCCTAGCATGATATGGAAAATCCTCCATTTTCCTTACATTTGGTGTCGAGTCATGATTTCTCTCAAGATGATATATCCTCATTTCAAACTTCACACTTTGTCGAATGGAATAATAAAAAAGCATTAAATGTTGAGTTCGACCTCTTGGAAGAAAAAGAAATGAAAATGAGCTTCGAACAATAGTTTACAAGCAAAGAAATGCCAAGTACTACAACCAGAAATTTTGGATAAGGAAATTTGAAGTTGATGATTTGGTGTTAAAAAAGTTTTCATCGCTACACGAGAGCTCAACATAGGATCCCTGAGGCCTAACCGGGATGAACCATACAAAATTACAAAAATCCTATCCAAATGATCTTATGAGCATGAAGATATGTAAGGATAACCTCTCACGCATCCGTGGAATGTAGAGCACCTCAAGAAGTACTATCAGTAGATAACTACTTGTATTGCTTTATTTATATGAGCTTGAATACAGTAATTTTTGTGACAACCACTTCAATCCTATATAAGTCTGAAGCAAAGTCCCGTGAGAATTCTGGATGAGCTCTTCAGCTTTATGTTACCTAAGTTTGCCTCAGCT